TCCTGCAACTGCCAGTAAGTGCAAGGCTTTTAAAAAAAAAGAAATAAATGCTTGATACGCTCAGCTGAAAACATGCCATCCCCGCAGGTCAAAGTTATCCACTTCAGCCCCCTGCTTTTATCCATGATGTCCCTTGGCCACTTGTATTCCCTCAGATGTTCAGTAAGCCCCACATCCATCAGTCAAACATATTTCAGGCACAGCTCTGTTGGGCCATTACCGGCAGCCAGGCATTTGAGGTTGAGGGGCAGCTCATCAGAGTGGTCAGGGCAGTCTGGGTAACCATCACACTCCCACTGGGCGCTGAGAAGGCATCGGCCATCAGCACAGCGGAACTCATCTGGCCCACATGAGCGGTACACTGCGTAAAGAGTGAGGACTGTCAACATAGTGACACACTTCGCTACCAAGCAGAGATCTTAAAGGGATAGCTCACACAAAAATACTCAACTAAATTCTGTCAGCATTAATTTTAAAACGAGTTTGATTACTTTTTCATCTGTGGGACACAAAAGCAGATTTTTAGTGGAATGTCCAAGCTGCTCTTGTTACAATTAAAGTGTTCAGCGATTTATACTGTCAGGCCCCAAAAAGGACAAAAAAATCACCACAAAACTACTATAAAATGTTGTCCACTTGACTTGAGAAATTCAGACATTCTGAAAAAATAAATTTCATTTTCCAAAGAAAGAAAGAAAGACACACGTAATATCCAAAATAATATTAAATGACATAAGGTGTTAGTAAATTATGACAGAATGTAATTTTTTGGATGAACTATGTGAACCTTGAAGATGAATATGAAACAACAAAGGTATGTGATGTTACTTTTCAATAAAATGATGTGCAGATTTCTTGGGTTAGATTTTCTAAGAACTAATGAAAACTCTCGTTGAATCTTTTTTGCTATGAATCATTTTCCTAGGCTTTTTATTTCATATTTTAACTTCTGTTCAATAAGTTCTCTAGTCTGCTTAGTCTGCTGTATGAACAGGGGTGATGTCCTGTGGAGAGGCTGTCCTTTCATGTTGTGAACCAAGTTCTCCAAGTTCTCCATCAAAAAGCCCACAGATGTTTCAGCTTTAAGTAAAAAATAGTTCTAAAACATTTTTTAGAAAACCCCAATAATTGAAGTACTTCTTAATTAAGAATGTATAGTACAAATAATATGAGCACAGAGCAGCCTAAGGCTCACAGTAGGGCTTTAATTAACTAAGAATTGCCTCACTTTTTCCATTAAAATACGGCACATTTTTACTATTTCAATGTTGATTTTTGTGGTATTCAGTTTACTTTATAAATAAAATTAGCTTTAGCAAATTCCTTAAGGGAAAAGCAGGTATCTATAGTGACCAAAGGTAGAAAAAATGCATTTCTCAACAGCTCTGCTTCTCGGTCTGTTGCTTATTCAAAGCCTACCCATAGGAAAGAAAAATCAAAAGTGAGATCGCTTTAACAGCTCAAATATTTATCCTAGACAGAAATGAGGTTACTTTAAGATCGAATGGAGATTTTTGCTTGAGTCTCCTGCTTCTCAAACTTGTCTCCTGAGACAAAAACTCTAGCAATCTCACAATGGTCTCCTTTAAAGCTTTAAAAGAGATCTCAATAACATCACACACTGTGCTCAGATATTTCTCCTTAGCTACAGACACTGGATCTCTCACATGTGTCTCTTTTAAAGCTTTAGAAGACATCTCAACAACATCACACACTGTGCTCAGATTTTTCTCCTTAGCTAAAGACTCTGGTGGTCTCATATTTTTCTCATTTAAAGCTTTAGAAGAGATCTCAACAACATCACACACTGTGCTTAGATTTTTCTCTTTAGCTAAATAATCTGGGGGTCTCATATTTGTCTCCTGTAATGCTTTAGAAGAGATCTCAACAACTTTACAAAGTGTGCATCAAATCAAGTACTTGAAAGGCACTAAATAAAGGGGGGAAAATCAGAACTCTAAATTCAGAGTTAAAAGCTATATTGACAGAGAAATTATGCAGAAATAAGGATAATGTTACTTTTTATAGGACAATGTTTATGTACTTGTACTTGTACTTATGTGGCTCATAATTTGTTGTTGGAAATAGTAATGTAGTGGATGCCTTAATCAAAACTGTTTACAGAAAATGCAACCCTGGAGCTTTCTTTGCTGAAAGGCACATGAATGGCTTATGACTCAGTCTTGATTATTAATTGATTAATTTGATTATTAATATATATTATATGGAAGAAATGTTTGAGGTCATATTGAGGCATTTGACTTGGTGCACACTTTGTAAAGTTATTGAGATCACTTCTGAAATTTAGAGGAGACAAATGTGAGAGCTCCCGAGTCTTTAGTGTAGGAGAAAAATCTGAACAAATTGTGTAATGTTGTTGAGATCTCTTCTAAACGTTTGAGACAAATTTGAGAGATCCAGAGTCTCTAGCTAAGGAGAAATATCTGAGCACAGTGTGTGATGTTGTTGAGTCCTCTTCTAAACTTTCGAGGAGACAAATATGAGAGATCCAGAGTCTCTAGCTAAGGAGAAATATCTGAGCACAGTGTGTGATGTTGTTGAGTCCTCTTCTAAACTTTCGAGGAGACAAATATGAGAGATCCAGAGTCTCTAGCTAAGGAGAAATATCTGAGCACAGTGTGTGATGTTGTTGAGACCTCTTCTAAACTTTCGAGGAGACAAATATGAGAGATCCAGAGTCTCTAGCTAAGGAGAAATATTTGAGCACAGTGTGTAGTTATTGAGATCTCTTCTAAAGCTTTAAAAGAGACAAAAGTGAGAGATCCAGAGTCTCTAGCTAAGGAGAAA